AGAGTTAAACATCAAACTTTCCACAGAAGTTCATCGTTCCCACGAGATAAGAGACGGTCGGATCGTCAACGGAGAGCAAATTCGACGCGAGCAATCGAAGGAGGCATTCCATCGCTACCGAGAAGAACCCAGTTTTAAACAAAGGAGAGAATCAAATTCGTTCTCTTCTCTTTTGTAATCAAGTTGTAATCGGAATCAAAGAAATACAAGTCAATTTTCTTTATTCTTTTCATTGCAATTTTTCCTACATACAGTTAAACCTTGCGTTAAACATTCAAATGTACGGTTCAGACCCTGTGTTAAATCTTATCAACGCAGAGGTCAAACCTTGCGTTAAACATTCAAACACACGGTTCAAACCCTGCATTAAATCTTATCAACGTAGAGGTCAAACCTTGCGTTAAACATTCAAACACACGGTTCAGACCCTGCATTAAATCTTATCAACGCAGAGGTCAAACCTTGCGTTAAAACATTCAAACGCATAGTTTAGGTCCTGCGTTAAGTCTTATCAACGCAGAGGTCAAACCTTGCGTTAAGCATTTGAACGCACAGTCCAGACCCTGCGTTAAATCTTATTAATGCAAAGGTCAGACTTTGCGTCAGCTACTCAAACGCACAGTCTAAATTCTACGTTACAAAATTTGAGCGTAGAAGTCGGACCCTAACGTTTCAAATATAAAATGCAGATTCCTAACTCTGCGTTATAACATCGAAACGAGTTTCCTCGTTGCTTAGATCTTGCCGAAGCAAGTTTTATGGCCATGGAAGTCGATGCTTACCATCGACGAGAGGAGCTTGCACCGGCGGCGCACCAGCCTGGGTTGCATCATCGCCGACGGCCGAGGTTGGCCGAGAGCTCTAGGCAGCGATGGAGGCGGACTTGGAACGGGAGACGGTCTTCTTCCTAGGACCCATTGAGGATGATGGTTGGAGAAGATGAACAGGGTTCGCCGGAGTTCAAAACGAAGAATCTTCGTTAAAATCTTTCGAAAAGGAACAGATGGAAAGTCGAATGACTTTTGATTTGACCCCAAGCGATCTATTTATAGACAGCTATGAGCTGTCGATTCAGAACGAGATTCTAGGCTTAGAATACTGCCAAACGCGGCCTGTGCGCCCACGTTGGTTGAACTTCTAAACGCAGAGTTCAACTCTGCATTTCGATTCTCAAGCATAAGAATCCACTTGTCCGTTTTGATGCTAACAAATGAATTTCTCGATGTTTAAAACCAAGACCTAGCTTTAAATAAATAGAGGAAAGCTAGTCTCAGTTATTAAGGTGACCAAAGCTGAGAAGAAACAGGCGACTCCGCTGGGGAGTCTATTGGATGAGTACAGACAGATTACAATCAGCAACGCTAAAGCCGTCAAACAAGATCTGACGTGCAACTCATTCTTCTAAGTGGCTAAACATTCCCACTAAGATTAATGAAACCAGGAATCGTACGCAACTCATTCTTCTAAGTGGCTTAATATTCCCACAAATATTAATGAAGACACGATCCGACGCGCAAATCATTCTTCCAAATAGCTTAACATCCCAACCAAGATTAATAAAGCCAGGAGCTACGCATAACTCATTCATCCAAGTGGCTTAACATTCCAACAAAGATTAATGAAGACAAGAGCTGTTAGACCCTAGAGGGGGGGTGATTAGGGTCTTATGCTAATCTAATCCGATTAAATACTAATTAAAATTAATTAATAAGTTATCCTAGCAAGTATGAAATACAACAATGTATATGAGCTAGGATAAGCAATATGAACAACAAGATATATCCTAACAAAGAGATATAGGCAATGTATGTGCAAGGATATATAAACTCAAGGGTAAACAATATGAAATAAGATAGAGGATGATATGAATAATGAGACAAAGGCGATATGAGCAATGAGCACAAATATAAATAAACACCAAAGCACATTCAAACACACAATATGATCACGGAGTTCGGACCTTCCGTCCTACGTCTCCGCTCCCCACTCCCGGGGAGAAATCCACTATCACAAATCCGGTTTGGAAGCCGGAACTTCTACACACTCGGTTTACAAGTTCACCAAAAACTCTCACATAACAAACACTATGCAATCACACTCTACACCCTCACAAGTGTTGGACCTAGCCGTGTCTCCCTCAAGTGCTCAGTTACAACCTCTCCCTAGGTTTGTCAACCGACGCCACTCCTCTTGGGACGACCCCCGACTCTCACCACACACTCCTCTCGGTGTACAAGTGCATTACAAAGTGATTCTCACAATAAGCACAATATAACAAATGATTGTTCTCTCTAACAAGATGAGAACTCAATTAAGCTCACTCTCAATGTCACAAACCCACAACCCTAAATTATACTATGAATGTAAATACAATAAGCTCAATAGGTTGTGTGTGAACAAAGAGATATAAATCAAAACTAAACTCAATGTAGTTCTAGCTTAATAACAATGATAATCAAATATATAAAAAAGCTAGAAATAGAGTTTAAAGCTAGAGTTTGAGTTTAGAAAACTTCTCAAGATCAAGATGGAGAGATGGAGATTTGAGGTCCAAACAATAAGATAATCCCCTCCACTTGTGAAAGCTAAAACTGCTTTAAACCAAACCCTTAAACAAGCTTAAACTCCTTTTTAAAACCCTTGTTAAAAACTTCTTAGAGAGAGTGAAAACTGAGATCAAAGAGGGTTTTTATAGCCTCCAAAACCTCAGACCAAAACCCCTTACAAAAAGACCAATAAACCACCTGCAACGGCTCTAAAAAGAGCCGTTGGGACTCCAGCGGTCGACCGATGAAAATTGCGGTCGATCGGAAACAAGGTCAGAATCGCAGGAGACGTCCAGAGAGTCCGTCGGTCGACCGGCGAAAATTTCGGTCGACCGGCGGTACTGTAGCAGTGCGTATCTGTCTTGTAAAATCAATTTAAAATGGTAAATGAACTCCAAAAATTATTAAATTTTGTGGAAATGTTCTAGACATGTAGAATAACATGTCAGAGAAAGAATTTATGAAAAATATTTTCCTAGACATGTAGAATAACATGTCAGAGAAAGAATTTATGAAAAATATTTTCCCAGTTGAGAGAAATAAATGTTTGAACACAAATGTCAGAGAAAGAATTTATGAAAAATATTTTCCCAGTTGAGAGAAATAAATGTTTGAACACAAAAATATAGTTTCTGAAAATCTGCTGTGATACCGATTTTGTAAAATCAATTAGGCACAGTAAATCAACTCCAAAAATAGTAAAATTTTTAGGGAAGTTTCTAAACATGTAGGTAAACATGTCAGAGAAAGAATTTTTCAAATATCACTTCCCATTTGAGACAACTCATCAGTTTTGTAAAACATGCACGAACATGTGCACGAACGAAAACGTGAATTTGTAAATTCCTTTAAACATAACAAATCAATTCCAAACTTGATGAAACTTTGATAAATGTTTGCAAATGATATTTTGAACATGTTACAAAAAGAATTTTCCAATTTGCATTTCCCAATTGTGAAATCTCATTATTTTGCAAAAGTGTTCAAAACATAAAAACCCAAAACCATGCATGTATATATATAACTATATATATGCATAGAAACCAAATACGTGTGTGTATATGATATTGAGCTTAAGGTACTTCACACACATAATATAAAATCTAAACTAGATTATCCAAGCTTGATCTTGATCTTCATTGTAGCTCAACTTGGTACACATGCGGATGAAGCTTGAACTTGATCTTTAACTATGAATTGCATGTTGCTTCACTCCACAATTCCGCCAACCTCCATTTGATATCGTCGTTATGGCGCAATCCATCCATCCTCCAACTACGTTGTTTGTCTACAATACATAGGAATACACAAACACTAGACAAACAACATTAGTAGTAAATTGTTTGTAAATCATCATCAAAACAAGAAGGCCAACAAGAGCTGCGCACAACTCATTCTTCTAAATGGCTTAACATTTCCACCAAGATCAAGAAAGCTAAAAGCTGCATTTTGAGTGTTCATCAATGCCTACAAGAATTTTCTAGAGAAAAAAATACATCTCCGTCGAAGATTGAGTGGAGTATCTGAAGGATCCAAACAAAATCCAATGAATACACCACATCGCAGATCAAGTAGAGTATCTCAAAGACCCAGATAAGATCGTCGTCATCATCGCTCTTGTTTGGGTCATCAGCAATGATTTGGGCTTTAGCTTGTTTGACTAAGTTCATTATCATCAAGACTCAAAAGCTACCTTGTTTGGTTCGAGGAAACAAAATTTTAACATTCCAACAACCAGGTTTGCAATGTCTTCAAATCAGACGAAGTGAACAACCAACCAACTAAATTTTGGGATCCAAAGTATTCCGAAAATTCGTCTCAGTCAACCGCGAACTTTCAAAAACTTTCACTACAAGAAATTACATCTTTAACGAAGGGATTTCCCTTCGTTAAAGAGCTGAAAACCTTCGTTATTGTATGCTAACGACGGGAAAAAATCCCTTCGTCATCCGTCGTTGAAGCCCTCTTCGCTAAAGGGTCATGAAGGGATATACTACCCGTCGTTATAGAGTCTATAACGACGGAACATATTACCGTCATTAATATTTACGACGGTAATTATCACCGTCGTTACCATCAGTGACGGGGATATTTTCCCGTCGTTACCATCAGCGACGGGATATTTTCCCGTCGTTATCATTAGTTACGGGGATATTTTTCCATCGTTACCATTAGTTACGGGGATATTTTCCCATCGTTGAAGACTAATTAATGACGGTTGGATACCGTCGTAAAAATCCTCATAATGGGTAATTAGTAACCCATCAATGACGGTGCTTTCCCTTCGTTGATGAACAAAATATGGTTTATAAAACCGTCATTGTAGACTACAAATTTCTAATATATATTAATGATAATTTTTTCATTCATAGGCAACTATCATAGAAAACCTTCATATTATTCTCAACATAACACTGAGATACACAACACAAATATATTAAAAATACCCAATAATTAATAAAAGAGAAAATAAAAACTCCATTCATTAATAACATTAATAAATAAAATTCCACCATCCTCAAATATTTAATACTAATAACAAAAGGGTGTTAAATAACTACTTCTTGAGTTTTACCATCCCAAAAATATCTTAAAAGTTATTTAACACATTGTTTCTCGTGATACAGGGTAATGTTAAGTCTTTGGGTAAAGTCAAGCTGCATTGAGGGCATCAAGTTGCCGTTGGAGATCCTCAAGATCATCACTGATGGTGACGGTCTCCTGGACTAAATGGTGATTCTTGAAGTCTATCGGAGCTCGGAAGCTCATGCATGAGACCTTCTGGAAGGGCATCGGAACTTCTGCTTGCAGCAGATGTCTTCTCACTGTCAATGTCTACAACACTGAAAAGATTGAAGAGAAAAAGCAAGAAAGATTCAAGAGTCAATATAAGTTTGAGCATTTAACATAACTCTATTCGTAAATCTGGGTAAATGTATAAAGCAGATAACTGCATGTTTACCTAAAAAAACCAACCGGATTTTGAAAGATTTTACAATTGAAAAAGCAACAAAAGGTAGAAAATACAGTGCGCTTAACACTATGGAAATGAAAACTGAAAGCTGCCGAGGAATACTAACACACATTAGATAGCCAATTTATATACTGCTGACAGCACAAATCATCACGTCAAAAATTATATCATTTCCTTCCCAAATTTAATTGGTCCAGTTCTACTCTTTAGTCTAGACAAGTGAAATATCAAGAAGAGTGATCAAGAAGCTCTTTATATTTTAACTGCACCACTAGTTCTATAATTCTATGTAAGATGGCACCTTTCAGCTAGCATTTTCACTATACGTTATTAATCTACTCATAGGGCCATGTCCCATACCACTCTTTCCCTGAACCACTAGGCTGCCTTCCAATTTTCCAAAATATCACATACCCCAATCACCATAAGAATCAAGTTTTTGTCCCACATCTACTAGTGAAAAGGTGGAGCCGCACTAAGCGATACTTCCTCTGTGAGAGTAGGAATGCTTTAATTAGTGATTGACTCTTCGGTGGTGGTGGTGATAAGTGGGCCGGGAGGGTACGTTTTCTCCCTGGGGCTTTAGGGGGGGGTGGGGGGTGGAGGTGGCTAAGAATCCAGACTCATAGGAAGGAAATTTGGAAATTAAATATTTTGCTCTTAGCTTCATTATGTGTGAGTGAAGGGAAATTCTACAGTAAACATATCATCTCTAGTCTTCTTTTAGGACTTTGGGGTATCAAATTCTCAAAATAAAACTGAGGTATCGAAGTTAAAATGGGTGAAACTTTGGGTAGTCAAGTGCAAATTACCCTTTTAAAAAGGGAAATTAGCATACTCCTTTAAATCATTGTCCTCCAGATGCATGTGTCATAGATAATACATGAGAACCCTCCCCCCCTGCCCCCCACCCCCCTCCCGCCGGGCGCAAACACACACACACACAAAGAAAATACCAAAGCCAAACAAAAGCCTGAGATAAGTTGGCAGAGAATTTATTTTCTTCTAAATGAAGCTCTGATGCCTCCAGTATATGTACATAGTACATATGTATATACCCGATAATTGGGTAAGCATTGTTTGCTACGGGTATAAGTAATAGGGCTACCTACATCCTTCACAGTTCTAAATTGATTAACTAGACAATGTATGGATGATATATTCAAAGAATCAACTTGTCTGTTTTTAAACTTCTCTTTATTAACTGGATCAACAGTGAAAATAAGTAAAAACAATTCAATTAGTGTAAATAAACACATTGATTTTTCATTCAAGATAGTTGTAATTTGGATTTAGTCCATGAGCTAAAATGATAAACAAAGACAATGGTGCATCAAAGGTAGGAGTACATCAAAGGTAATGTCGACATTTTAAGATCTAGGAAACAGTATGGCTCGGAATGTGGTTAGTAAATTTTACACCACAAGCAACATACTAAAGAGTCACTTACTTCTAGTACAACATCAGGGTTAATGTCTGAAAGAGTCTGAACAACAGAATCTGTCTTGGTCATGCCAGCCTACAATAAGGAACAATTTTGTGACTAAGAGTATTCCATCAAGAAAGAAACTATAGCAAATAGGAATGAATAATTTCTAACATTAATAAGTGAAATTGAAAATCTAAAGAACAAAGAATATGTGAAAGCTGACCATTTACAAAGAAAAGAAGGAAGAACTTTTGGAGGGGGTTCTGTAGGCTGTCTAAAAATTAAAATAGATAGTTGATCCCCATTAAGCTTCAACAACGAAAGTTACAATCAGATAACTTTCATGCCAACAAATGAAAGCTGCAAATGAAGGACTTTTCACATAGATCGAGAAGAGTTACAATTCAACGATACTTCCGACAACTGATAAAAACTCTATTCAGCGGTCTTCACAAATCAACAGTGAAAGTTACAATCTGACGACTTTCACGCCCCGCGATAGTCTTCGCAAAGCTGTAATGGAAGAGGTTACAAGTCAACAACCTCTTCCAAACACAGAGTTCACCTCTGCGCTTCCCGAATCCAAGATGCACGCGGCCTGTACGTTTTTCAACAGACATCCAACTCTGCGTCTTAAATTCAAGACGCAGAGTTAAGATTCATCATACAAACGGCATGTGCGTTATTCCACAGATACCCAACTCTGCGCCCCAAGTCTGAGGCGTAGAGTTAAGACCCAAAACGCAAGCGGCCCTTGTGTTTTCAATTCCCAGCAAACACCCAACTCTGCATCTCAAGTCTAAGACGTAGAGTTAAGGCCCAGAACGTCAATTTAGGCATTTGACTTGTTCAAATTCAAGCTGAACGGCCTCAAAACCGTTTATCCCACGTTTTGAGGGATTTTCGCCCACTTAGGAGCGGATCTAGGGGTTAGTTACACCCCTTATCCCCTTATAAATAACCGTATTACTCAACTGAGTAAGGGGTTGAACATTTGGAAAATGAAAAACCGCACAAGATTGGATTCCTTGGCGGAGAGGGTGAGATTTCTGAAGATCAAAAAACTGCTCGGTAGTTAGGAAGCAAAATCCCGAAGGATGTTGATTGGGGCATTGATTGCTGAAATACACTCATTAGTCCTTTGCTTATACATTTTATTTCTAGCGAATGGGAACTCCATAACAATATGTTATAGACCCGACCCAATATAAGTATTATACTTAGACCATTTCAAATATCCGAATATTTAGACCGTATCTGTAATATCAACCCGATAGCCGAATCCGAAACCGTATGCGGATAAAAAAATCTAAACCGTAACCGTATCCGAAACCATATCCGACCGCTTTCAATTTTTTCCTACCATATTCGTTTTCTAAACGGATATGGTTGTGGTCGGTTCGGATAAATCCGGTCTCTTTTGCACCCCTATGCAAGTATCATAGAAAAACATTGGGACAAAAATTTCTATATTTGTATAATCAATGGTAGTAATGTAAAGTTGGAAGTGAAAACAATTCAAGAGGCAAGCAAGAATAAATAATTTTAATACTTGAGATGGTAAGACGAGTCCGATGATACAGGCAAGGACAAACCGAGACTTGATTAGAAACCGTACCTTTTCCGGGGACCAATTTCAAACAACTCATGTTCATGGGGACCATTCTCTAAAAACCTAAACATGAAAAGTGAAAACGAGTAAGAAGCATGAAGTGAGAGCGGAGGGTATAGCGAGAGCGTACGTGCTGGGCACAAAGACAGGCGAAGAATATGTGTCCTCCTCCACCGACCTCCTCCAGGGCAGCAGCAGCAGCCGCCGTGCAGCTGGCAGCTTCAGCAAACAAGAAGATCTCGGCCGACTGACGATGACGACCGGCGACGGACCCCGCCAGCCCTCAACGACGCCAACAACAGCAGCAGCTGCAACACAGCCGCTCCCTCCGGCTCCCCGTCGGTATGTCGACCCGCGACCCACCAACCGCCCTCCGCTCCTCCATACCTCCGCCTCTCCCCCGGCTCCGCTCCCTTCCTCCATCTCCTCCCTCGCCCTCGCCGCCACCGCGGCTTCTCCCTCCTCAAGCGCCTCGGCCTCGTCACCTCCGTCTCCCTCCTCCAGCCCTCCGGCTCCGTCCTCTCCTTCAGCGGCAACTTCGAGATCCTCTGCCTCTCCGCGCGCCTTGCCTCCCCCCTCCCTCGCCTCCCGAGGACAGCGGCATGACCGTCTTTCCTGGCTGGGCCCCAGGGCCAGATCGTCGGGGGCAGGGTGGCGGGGGACGCTGCTGGCCGTGGGCACGGCTCACCGTCGTCGCCCGCTACCTTCGCCAACACGGCTCTGGAGGTGCTGCCCCTGCCGGCGGCGGCGCGAGAGGAGGGAGAGGGCCGGCGCTCGGCAGCGAGGAATTAGTGGCGCAGGGTAGGAGATCAAGGGGGATCAGGTTTTTGAGTAATGATAATTGTTATGGGCGTTTGAAATTGGATTCTAACCGGTTGGAATCAGCAGCTAGCTAGCTAGGGTTTGGGTTAAAGACGAAATCTTTGTTGTTGTTCGCAGCTGAATTAGCTAGAATTAATGTGTCTCTCGTGAATAAAAAGAAAAGGAAATGCTTGAATCGAATGTGTTGTTTCTCGACGAAGATCAATCTCAGTGTGTGTATGATGATGTTTAATTATGTTGGATTATTAGTGAATCGATCACTTACTTGTGATTTTGATATATGAAATTATTTCTATATTTTAACCGTTCGAAATTTCTAACATACTTTTTTCCAAAGCTAATAATCTGGAAACTTCTTTTCCATTTAATTATAACTTTGATACCTTAAAGTTTCAATTCTATTTCACCATGATGATTTCGTTTGATTTTCTATTAAGTTTTCACAGCTGGTGGGAACATTTGCTTGTTTGGATCTCTTACCAATTGGATAAAATGAATCTAAAATTTATCACGGTTATGTTATGCATGAAGGTATCAAAGTCCAATAGAGGTATCGAAGTGAAAATAGACCTTTACAGCTATTAGTTTCTTTTTATTGTTTTATGAGGAGGAGGAGGATGAGCAATTATTTTAAGTAACAGTCTTAAGATTTTGGCCACCCAAAATCTGATAATGTTGGAACAAGAAAATAAGAAAATCTAGAGTCACCAATTTGAAAAATAAAGTGGAAGAATGAAGCGGTCCAATGAGTGTCTAAATAGTACAATGATTGGTATGTATTGAATTTATCACTGAAAAACTGTATAAATTCCAAGTTGAAAATTGATATATATTTGATTGTTTGAGTGAGTGAAATTCTAAGGTATTTAGGTGCTATTAAGCCAGTTACAAAACATTACAATTTCTCGCGTTTCCAATAATACTGTGGATACTCTTTCTCACTTTCCAAAAGCTGGGAAAAAAGTTATATAAGAATGGAAAAATTCTGAAAATAGACCACATTTGCTAAATATTTAGCAAAATCGACCATTTTGCTAAATATTTAGCAAAATCGATCTCTTTTTTGTCTGTTGGCAAAAAAGATGTCGATTTTTAAAAAAGTGGCCTGAAAACATACGGGACTACTAGTCCATTATGTTTTCAACACAGTAATTACAGATTAGAAAACATACGGGATTACTAGTCCCGTATGTTTTCTGCATGTTTTTGTGGCTCACCAAAATGTACGGGACTACTAGTCCCGTACATTTTGCAGAGCCAACCTACCCATCTATACGGGACTACTAGTCCCGAATAAATGTCGAAATAAATCAGCTCTCTTCCCTAAATTCCGCTATTCCCCTTAAAATCTAACTTGTCTCTCCACATTCACTCCCAAACCCATCTCAATCTCTTCACCTTCACTCCCAAACCCATCTCACTCCCTCCCAAACCCATTGAAATCTCTCCCAAACCCGATTTTCACACCCAAACCCAATCTCCATCTCTCCCAAACCTGATTTCCACACCCAAACCCAATCTCCATCTCTCCCAAACCAATCTCCATCTCTCCCAAAGCCAACTCGCCCCCTCCTCCCTCAAATCTGATGCCGAACTTGATCTCCGACGCCAACGAAATCCGATTTTGACAAGGTAACAAATTTCTCCAATTTCGTTTAGTGTTTGTGGAAAAATTTGAAGTAAAAGAAACGAAGGAAAATTGATTTGTATTCCTTTAATCTCAGTTACAATTGGATTTTCTGATTACAAAAGAGAGGAGAATGATCTGGATTCTCCCCTTTGTTTAATTCTGGGTTCTTCACGGTAGCGATGAGATGCCTCCCTCGAATGCTCGCGTCGAGTTTGCTTCTCGTTGACGATCCGACGTCTTGTTTCACTGGAACATGATCTTCTCCTCACGATTTGACGTTGTGGAGAACTCTGAACGAGTTTAAAACTCTATGAAAGAGTTGATTTAACCGAAAGTCGGTTATAAGCCAAGGATGAAGAAGATCTTGTTGCCGATCTCCAAAGCTCCAGAAATGCTCTAAGGATCCTGTTGACTAGCCTAGAAGTTCCAACCGACCGCACCCTGAACTGAATTGATTTTTAGTTATTTATAGGGGATTAAGGGGTGTAACCACCTCCTTAATTCGCTGCTGCGTTTGGCGGCAGGTGAAAGCTGCGTTGATAGCTTTCGGAGACTGCGTTTGTGGCCGAACATGAATTGCGTTTGCAGCTTTTGGAGCTGCGTTTGCAGCTTTTAGAGTTGCGTTTGAGCTGTGCTTGGAGCTGCGTTGAGCAGCGGTTGGAGCTGCGTTGAGCAGCGGTTGGAGCTGCGTTGAGCTGCGGTGTGAGCTACGTTGAGCTGCGTTCGTGGCTATGAACGCGATGCGTCTTGATGCTGGTGTGCGGGGAGGACTTCCACAGTTTGATTTGAAGAGACCGTCGATTTGTAGTCTCTTTCTGTCGAAGCGTTGCAAAGATCGTCATTTTGTAATCTTTGCTTTAGCTCTCTGATATATGAGAGTCGTCAGATTGTAACTCCCGATGTTAATTGTGAAGGCTGTTGATTAGAGCTTTCATCAGTTATTGTGAAGGTCGTCAAATTGTAACCTTCATCGATCTACGTGAAAGTCTTCAAATTGTAGCCTTCTGGAAGTCGTCAGATTGTAACTTCCATCATCGGTATTTGATGGGGAATCAGCTATCTATTGTGATTTTTAGAAGATTGTAACTTCCATCATCGGTATTTGATGGGGAATCAGCTATCTATTGTGATTTTTAGACAGCCTACATTTAGTTAATATG